AATTTTTTTTTTTTTTGCTTTGTTTTCACTTTTAGTTTGATTCCATGCGGTACAGAGAGTGTGTATTTCCATAACAGTCTGCATGTTCCATTACATATTTCAGTTGAAGCTGCAAAATGAAATGAACCTTCGCGAGAAAGCTGAGTCTTCAGCAGAGTCAGCTGACGGGAAAGCAACTCTTTTAGAGAGAAAATTAAGCCAGCTTTCTGAAAGCATCGAAAGAGAAAAAAGGCACCTTAGTGATGAGCTTGCTCAAACGAAAAGTGAATCAAAGCTTTCTATTTCTAGAATAAATGCAGATGTGAGTAGCTAGAACTGTTTAGTTAACTGATAGCAAACATGAATTAAAGATCCATGTTTGTTTAACTTTCATTTTCTCTGATTTGTAGCTTGAAAGAATGAAATGTAAAGCTAAAAATGCTGAGGAAGAATCAGAGCTTTTGAAAGAGCAGCTTGAGGGTGTTATGAAACAATTTAATGAGGTTAGACTTTAGAATTGTCACTTAAAAATGCTATGGGATGGTATGACTAATGATTTTTCTGTTTTCTCATTGTTGGTTTCTGAAGGTGATTTGATGTTCTCTAATTGCAATTATTATGACATATTGACTACATCTCTTCAATTGATTTTAGATTTCGACTAACTTGTCACATCTGAGGGAGCAAAGCATTCATGTTCTTCTGGGTGTACTTTTGAACTTTTTATGTGAAATGCTGTGGCAATTCTACGTCTTGAGACAATAATAACAAAAGAACAAAAAGTCTTTACCTTGGTATCATCTTTAGTTTCAAATGTCACTTACCACGTTTCCTTTTCCCAGTGCTTGCACCAGAAGAGTGAAGTAGAGAAGAAGTTATCAAGTTTTACACTTCAGGATGTTACTCCTACAGAGAATAATCCTTTGATTAAGCACCTTCAAGAGGAGCTTAGGAACTATGTAAGATTGATTTTCTATTCGTGTTTTGCTCCTTTTGTTGGATGATAATTATATGCTGTTGATTCCTTCTCTGTCATATTGTTTGTGGTAATTTTCAATATACAAGTTACCTTTTTTGCATGGAAATAATCCGTCACGACTAATGAGTTTTGCGGTTTCAAGTTACTCTATGCATGCAATTAGAACTAAGTTCTTCTACACCAGGTCAACTAAATACTCCCAATATTGCATCTAATGCTTAATCTTCTTGTGGCTGAAAATTCCTGCAACTGTTGTCCTTGCTGCCCACTACTTTGCCTTCATTTACCACTCAAATTAATCCTTACTTTAACCTTCTAATCCTAATTCATTGTACGTCCATACTCATAACCCTATAAACCTTGGTTTGTCTTTGCCTAACCCACAGTTGAGTCCCAAGTGAACTTATTATTTGAATCTGTTTTATTCTTAACCCAACACATGGGCAAAGTGGTCATACCACTTGAAGACATCCTATGTTTGTGTCTGTGTCTGTGTCTGTTTAGAAACAAACAACGTATCTTCCACTTACAAATTATGATTATAGGATCCTTGCATGGATTGATAGCTTATCACACTTAGTTTCACATCTAATTGCTGTTTTGTTTAGATGAGTTCTTTTCTGTTACAGTTGTCAAATGCTTAATTTCACTCATTTTGCTGGGTACCTTTTACAAGGAGTCTGAGGTGCAAGAAGCAAGAAAACTGAAATCCTCTCATGAGAACATTGAGTTGTTGAAAGAAAAATTACTGGAAGAGAAGGGTCGCAAAGAGAGGGCAGAATTGCAGCTTTCTAAGTTACAGGAACTCCAGTTAAGTTTGAACAATTTGGAGAACGAACTGTCATCTTGGAAGCTGATGATGAAAGACATTCCTGGGGTATCATGTCATGAAGATATACCAGTCAAATTTGCTACCTTACAAAAGTAGGCATATAGCTGGATTTTGATACTTCTGCTTAATATTGAGCATGTTCTCTCATTTTCTGATGTTGAGATTTTTCCTTGGTGCAGAGAGGTAATTGATAGCACAATGAAGATGGGTGAGGCAAATGCACGTTTAAAACAAATGGAGGTCAGTCTGGATCTTGCACAACTCGGTAAACAGAATGCTGAGGCTGAGGCTGCATTGGCTAAAGAGAAGGCAGAAGTATTAAAATCAGAGATCAAGCGGATTGAACTGATGGTAACTATTATGATGCAATTTACATTGTGTGTGTATCTGTGTGCATTTATATATATTTTCCCTTTTTCTTTTTTGTTTTCCATTCAAGTTTAATTTAACTAAAGATGATTCTCTAACTCTCCTTGAGATAAATTCTGACTATCAAGGGTCTTTTTGGATTGGGTGCAGCTTTCAATGGTTACTGACGAGAGAGACAAGTTTAGAAGTATCATTAATGAATTAAAGAAGCCTAAGAATGAGGAAATGACAGATGAAGCAGCCAATATGACTATTGTTCAGGTCCTGGATTTCTCTTGCTATTTCATCACTTTAAAATGCCTCTTCCTGCTTCCTACTCTCCTAATATGCTCTTTCTCCTTGTAACATTTGTTCATTACCTGGTTTTTATGTGCAGGAGCTTGAATTATCTCTTGTTAACAAGGAATTTGTTATTAAGGAGTTAGAGAATAGTTTATGTCAACAAAAAGAACTCAATGATCGTCAACATAATGAAATTAGGCTGCTAAATGAGAGGCTTAATGATGAAACAAGAAGAATCAAATCACTTGAAAGAGAGGGTGACCGACTTTGTTCAGAGATTTCACTATTGGAGTCCAAGGTAGGTGATTATATTTTAAGCGCAAATTTATACGTAATGGAAAAAAAAGAAAAATTGTATATGAAATTCACAAGTAAATTATAAATCTCTGCATGTCTATGCACATGTGTACATCTTGTAAACTCCTCAATTACATAAATAAATCTAGTATTGTTATAGATGGTTGATTTTTGTTTTTCTACTCTTCAATTATAGTAACAATCTTTTTATGGGTTTCCTTCCAAAGTTGGGTCATGGCGATTTTTCTAGTGCAAATACAAAAGTTCTGCGAATGGTAAATACTCTAGCTCTAGGTAATGATGCAAAACAAACAATAGAAGCTTTACAAACTGAGTTGCAGAAGACAAAGGAAAGGTTGCAAGCTGTTGAAGAATTGAAAAGTCAGTCAGGTAGCACTGTTGTTCTCTGATGATAGATAAATTAGCTCCCAGTACTGTTATTTTGTTTCCACATTGCTTTTCTTCTGTGGTCCTCGTCACAAATATTTTGTTTGTAGTTGGAGTCATTTCTAAGCTATTAATTATAGAATAAATTCAATGCTTTTACATTTTTCTGACTGGCTTCATTAATTTTTCAGGGGATACTGGGAAGCTGGTCGACTCCTATATATCTGAGAAAATTTTGAAATTAAAAGAACAAATTGCAACACTTGAAAAACGTGAAGAGAGGTGAGTTGTTGATGAAATATTTCGGTAATCATTCCACTGCATATTTGTTGTTCAGTTTCTTTGTCACTGAAATATCAAAATCATGCATGAAACAGATACAAGAC